TCTCTCTCTCTCTCTCTCTCTCTCTCTCGTCTCTCTCTCTCTCTCTCTCTCTCTCTCTCTCTCTCTCTCTCTCTCTCTCTCTCTCTCTCTCTCTCTTCTCTCTCTCTCCCTCCACTCTACTCTCTCTCTCTCTCTCTCTCTCTCTCTCTCTCTCTCTCTCTCTCTCTCTCTCTCTCTCTCTCTCCCTACAGCCTCTTCCCTCGTAAATCGCAGGTACGTCGATGCCCAACCGAGAATCGTGGAAGGGCGCACCGGGGAACGTGACGGAGATGACCGTGTCTCTTTTTCTCTCGGGGAACGTCCTCGGCGAAGGATGTGGTCGAAGCGCGTGACGAGGACGTGAACACGCAGGGCGAATCACAGGACGAATCACGGGACTACGCGCGGTGGCCGGGCTCTACGGTCGGGTTAATGATCGATCGGCTCCTCTCTCGGCGGCGCGCCGGATAGCAGCAGCAGCAGCAGCAGCAGCAGCAGTAGCAGCAGTAGCAGCAACGAGAGAGATATTTCGCGAGAGATGCTCCTTTGTTCTGCTTAGCCCGAATTTCAGCTCGCGTTTTGATCTCCTATGTTCGCGACGCTTCCCTTTGTGACCGAAGAACGCCCGAATCTCGGCACGTATCTCGCGATAGACCGAAGCCTGCCGAAGTTTGTCGCGAAACTCGTTTTTTTTCCCCAGAATTCGCAACGGGTTCGCTCCGCGCGAAAGATCGAACGCGCTTTTCGTCCCCGCTTTTCCTTCGCGCGGTCCTGCGACCGTCCCTCGTGAAATGCCGGCACGATCCGCACCTCTCGACCGTCAGAGAAAGAATGAGTATCGCGAGAACAGAGACGGAGGGGTGGCAGGGATGTAACGAGCGAGCCCCGGCGCCCCGGGATCGGGATCTCGTCCGCGGCATGGTGGCAGCCCTGTCGACGATTCCAGCTCTAACCAGGAGAGAGCGGGGACCCGACGTAGGGCGGAGCCCTGTGTTACGAAGGGTTACTTACCTAGGGACATCCCGAACTTCTCGTTCCGGCGAGCCATGAAGAAAGTAGCGATTTTCAGGGTCGCGACACTTCAACACAGAATCCGAATACGTTCCGTCCGTTGAACTTTACGAATTTTGCGGATTATCAGATGGATGATACGAACTCAGCGGAATATATGTGTAACTTTTTAAATGTGATGTTAGAAAATATAAAAAGCGCAAGCTGTTAGAATATGAAATTATATATTTTACAATTGTACAAATTAAAAATTAGAAAATAAATTTGCCACAACACACGATCTGTTTTCACATTTGTATCTGGATGACTAGTCAAGCCGGGAAAATGTTCACGAATGTCATTTTTATAGAAGCGAGAAAAGATACAATTATATTATCATTTAAGCACAATAATGTTTGCCGTGATGCCGATACATCAGCGATGTAGCTCATCGTTCACCTATACTAATCCAATATCCGCACGACGCCTAAAGTGCCGGGATAGAATCCTTTGACGAGCATTTTATGTCTTACAAGAATGAAGAGGATTAAGTCACGTTCCTCTGCAAATCGAAGGAATTCCCTCCTTCTTCAGACTGTTCGATTCCGAAACTGGTTTCCCCGCAGCCTCGGCTAAATTTCAGTTAAGGATTGTAGATAACGATCCCCTTAAGCTCGCGTTATCCCTGGTAACGACGCAAATAGCTGGCAATCTCCTCCCCCTTCCATGACGATTTTTTTTATCGTCTCATATAACTCCCACAATCGCTGAACGCGAAATCGCGTCTTATTATCGCAAAATTTTCGTGGAAAACTTTCATTTTAAGAGATGCCACGCCTCAACGCTCAAATGTGATGCGTCATTCCAGAAATTAGAAACGTTTAAATCGTCGTCTAATGTCCATTTATTTTTTAACGAAATCGACGGAAATTTCACGCAATACTCCGGAAATTTCAAAAGAATTGATCAATCGCTAAATCGATTGATTATACAATGAACCCTTCTCTCTCTCTCTCTCTCTCTCTCTCTCTCTCTC